CCATCGAAATAATGCTCTCCCCTATGCAACCATCTGTTACGTTCTAAAATTTAAGAAACACATGATCACTGAAGAGGGATATGTTTAAAACAATATCGGCCCTATAAACTGATCACAGAGAGGTTTCCCCGTTAGATCCTCATTGAATGGCTCCAGATATCGACCGAATTATACTTTATATCTTTCTACTTTTACGTAGGCCTATCCAGCATATACGGGTTATGAAGTGGATTAATTTAGAAGAGCAATATATTCACGTAGTCTACAAACGTACCACAGAGATGGTTATCTACCATAGAACTTCGCTGAATATGTCAACATAACTAGAGATTTTGCTTTGAATTTACTGTTTAATTGGTGCATAAATGTGAACAACTTGTATTAAACGTTTGGAATATCCATGCATTTTTTCATTTATTTTATAAAGTTCTCTCAAGAAATATTAACGAAGAGTGAAAGGTCAATTGTTGTTCGAAACACTACTATCTATCTATGGCTCAACAGCCCTTGTGGGCCTTAGGCGTTTAATTTTTTCAGAATCTTAGTCCTATACACAGTTGGTAGGTCTCCTTGGACTGGGGATCAGCCCGTTGCAAGGCCTCCGCTTACACACAGAACAACACAAACAAGGAATAAACGAAAACAGACATCCATGTCTCTAGTGAGATTCGAACCCACGATCCGAGTGCTCGAGCAGGCGAAGATGGTTCATGCCTTAGACAGCACGGCCGACCACTGTGATCAGATTCGAAATAAACTACCATAATAGAAAAATAATAACACAACAATAGGTATTATGAATATCGAGAGAGCCTTGGCTGTACATTCTGTACTGACATTTTGTCTAATATTACGTTTAGCATTAAGATATTTTAAAAATATGCAGCGAAGATTTTGTGAACGTGCAGTGACGATGAACACACGTCCTACAGCATGCTACTGCGGAAATACCTCAAGTCCCGCATATCTAGTCCGAACAAATAAACGGGTTGTGAGATGTAAATCAAAATAATTGAGGCACATCGGCATAAACACGTTCCAATTTCGAATTATATTTATATTTCCTACGTCACTTTCATCTGTACTGATGTATGAATTTTGATCGTGTGTGAATAAGCAACGTGAGCCATAGGATGGGGATCAGTAACTGAGCAGGATCTAGGTACGCTGCAGGACATTACGTCAAATATAACTTTACAAAATAGTTACCAGTGGGCGCCTATAATTTCCATTCATTTACGTTTGGGCTAGTAACTTTAAAGAAAGAAGAATTTTGAAAGGGGAACATGAATAATTTAGAGGAGTATGTTTCAGTTAGTAGCTATAAGTATATACATAATCAATGCACATTTTGAATGGCCACTGCATTGTGAGTTTTACTATCGCTTTGTAGCCAATGAGTTATTTAATTAAATGCGGCTTAATATGCACCAGAGTTTTCAGCCATTTAAATATACGATAAATTAGGCTTATGTAATATCACATATTTGAGCTGATATAAACAAAGGCGGGTTGGGAAAGAGCGGTGTTAAACGCCTTGTGACTTCTTACTTTTGGGGTACATTAAGGATCGTGTTTACGTACCCCCACTGCCAAGAACACTAGTAGAGCTGAGGGAACGCATCGATGCTGCAGTGATGACCATTGACAGGATAATGCTACAAAATGTGTGGAACGAGCTCGACTAACGCCTGGACGTGTGTCGTGTGACCCAAGGGGCACACATAGAACATTTATAGAGTGTAAGAAAACTTGGTGAGTTTACGGTTCTTTTTATATATCAGTCATATTTGTATGTGTAATGCTTTAGAAAAGATAGCATTTTAAAAACGAATGAATCATTTATTGTACCCTGTATTCTAAAACCCGATTTTCAGTAGGTTCAACATAGAGTAGTGTGTAGTAGTAATACCGATTCAGAAATATGTTAGGGTTGTCTTCGGTTTGAGTCTCTGTAGGGTAATCACCTATACTGACTCTGGTGTTTCGTAGTATTCCACAGTCCTTCCAGGAAAATGCTAGGATAGTACCTCCATACGACCAGGATTACTTTCTCCTAAATCCCTTCTAATTCATCATTCATCTATGATCCTACAATTCGAGACTATGTACGGCACAGTGTACGTACTGGCATTGTTGTAAAATAAGCCGAACACATCATAAACAGGTTAGGCAGAACAGAATCTTTATGACGATGTTCGGTAAGCTATGCAGCGGGAGGGGGAGGAAACATCACAGGACATTGCACATATAAATGCACTGCTGAAAGTCATAAATCTCTGTACTCTCCTAATTCTTGAGAGCCTTCTTTTCCTTTTCTTCTAAATACATCTCCAAAATCGCCCATTTTATACCTCCAGAATCTTGTTTATATCATCCACAAAGTTTAGAAATGAAATGCATAACCTCAAAAAAATAGTCAACACAAAATCTTCACTTTCTCCCAATAAAGAAGAAGAGTGCAGAACTTCATAAACATATTACAACTTGATCAACGTTCCTGTGATTTCCGTAAACAGAAATACAGGCGAATAAATTCTAGTCGCAAAAAGTTTATTGCTGACGTTACTTGAATTAATGATAGATCAAGACAATAACCAATATACGAAAGAAGAGAAACATAACCTGATGTGTAGTAATATCAATTTTTTATCATATTCAAAACGCGAAGCCACTCTACTAGAAACTACAAAACCCTATCCGAAATACTTGTATTACACTCTAAATATGTTTAATAACCACATCCTCTGAAGAGGTTATATTGTCATGTGAACCTACCGACAAGCTTCGCGCCAATTCCGTGCTTAAACGAACGGAACAGGACACAGCGCCATTGGTACTGCGTTCATAATGCGAACATAGAAGTCTGTTACAGTGTGCTGTTTGTAAGCGCGTTCACGAAGCATGAAAACGCATCTGAGAAGGAAAGCTACAAACCTGTAAACTTACTTACTTACACAGGGAGCTGAGCCCTTCTAGAGGAGCCGCCAGTTCTGCAGCTACTCGAGAATTTTTTAACGTTTTATGGAATCCGAAGGTTCATTACCGTGTTAACAAGAGCCCTCCACTGGTCCCTATCCGGAGCCAGATAAATCCAATCCGTACCATCACATCTTATCTCTCTTAGATCCACTTCAATATTGTCCACCCACGTACGCCTTGGTTCTTTCAGTAGTCTCTTTCTTTCTGGCTTTCCCACCAATATCCTATACGCATTCCTCGTCTCTCCCATTCGTGCTACATGCCCAGTCCACCTCATCCCCCCTGACTTGGTCATTCTAATTATACTTAGAAGAGTACAAGTTATGAAGCTCCTCATTATGCACAAACTTGTAAACAGTTTATATAATTCAGTCTGCACAATTTGATTAACGAACTAACTCGATGGAGCACACTGTTTCTCGAGAAGTGATATGTCCATCAAATAGTCATGAAATTATCCGCTAATTTCCCTTTCAAAACATGCACTGGAGAATAGTTATGAGAGGTGAGCAAGATCCTCAGAATAAAGTAATAAAATTTATTATTCTTTAGATAAAGCAAGTGGATTGAACTCAGGCAATGATTGCTACCATTCAGTCCAGAACATTTTGTCTTCTCGTCTGCTGTCCAAAAACATAAAAATTAGAATATACAAAACCACAATTTTGCTTGTGGTTCTGTATGGGTGTGAAACTTGGTCTCTGGCATTAAAGGAGGAACATAGACTGAGGGTGTTTCAGAACAAGGTGTTGAGGAGAATATTTGAACCGAAGAGATATGAAGTGACAGGAGGGTGGAGAAAAGTGCATAATGAGGAGCTTCATAACTTGTACTCTTCTCCAAGTATAATTAGAATGACCATGTCAAGGAGGATGAGTTGGGCAGGGCATGTAACACAAATGGGAGAGACTAGGAATGCGTATAGGATATTGATGGGAAAGCTAGAAGGCAAGAGACCACTGAAAGACCAAGGCGTAGGTGGGTGATCAATATTACAGTGGATCTGAGAGAGATAAGATGTAATGGTATGGATGGGATTGATCTGGCTCCGGATAGGGACCAGTGGAGGGCTCTTGTTAACATGGTAATGAATCTTCGGGTTCCATAAAATGTTAGAAAGTTCTTGAGTAGCTGCAGAATTGGCGGCTCCTCTAGAAGGGCTCAGCTCCATGAATAAGTAAGTAAATAAGTTAGATAAAGACATAGAACACAGTAGCTTACCGAGAAACCGTAATGAAAATAATTTCACACTTTAGAAAAATAAATTTAAAGCGGGAGTTTGAAAGATAATGACATTTACTAAACAAAATTACAAATATCAGACAACTATTAATGTGGTTGTTCAATTACAAAGCGCAATTATTTCATACTTCCGAAAACAGCAATAACGTGCACTTCGAAATACTGAGTCAGGATCTGATGACACTTTTGCAATGTAAACTTACTCATATTGGTGATTATTTCTGGTTTTCAATATCAGAAAGTAAGAGACCGAGAAATGCATTCATTACTTCACCTTTAACTAGGATAAAGGTGGCTTAAAATGTCTTAGAACCCATGTGAGAGACCAACAGTGTTGTTTAATTTACTTCATTTCACTCTAAATCCAAGAAGGGTTACAGATTCATGACTTTCCTGAGATACGCACTCAGCACTTCCACATGACAATCATTGATCTCATTTGGACTCAGACAGTAAATGGCTGCCCAAAATGTTACTTTCCATCAGCCACTGGTAAAGTTATCGTTGCTGTCTTACAAAATGATTAATGTGGAAATTAACTGTTTTCACTTTTCACATTTTCACAATAAATTCCAGATGGCTATATATATAAACAACCCACATGAAAGAAATAAGACAAGCATGCAATATTTTGATGTGGACACCTCAGAAAGTGGCCATTAACTCATAATGAAGTGGGGCATATCGAAGATGGTTTGATCACCAGCAAGGAACTGAATTTGCTTAGAACATAATTCAAAATACTATTTGGTGGTGATTTGTGACGAAACTTTAAGTATCATAGGTTATAGGAACATATACAGTTCACACTTTATTACACTCAAATGTACAGTAAGGAAATACAAAATATATGCATTCTTGAATCTTCAGTCAGTGGTGCAGCAGTTCAGAATTCTCCCACTAATCACCCTTTCTTGTCTCCTGTATTTTCAATAATTTCTTCAGTGCGTTCATTTTTCAATCCTTGGTCTGTAGGAAAGAAGACAAATGATTAATTAAGAGATCAATAAATAAAGTAAACAACAGAGCAACTATTAACAAAAGACACACTTGTTGGCAAACATATATAAATTAACTGAGGACAGATAGCAAAGTAACTCTACAAAACTAGGATTCCCAGTTCCAGGGAACAAAGGTAAATATTACACGTTTCTGGCATTAAGACATATTCCCTCAGAAGCAGACAAGTATAAAGTGAACATTTCTTTCCCACAACCACAGGTTCCATTATCACTGACAGAAGAGGAACATTAGCCATTTCATTCAAACTACGGACTAATGATGACCTGGTATACTTTTCTCACCAAGGAACTTCCAGCATAATGAACGTACTGATGACATTTGTAATTCATTTCGCAAATGTTACATTCTTTTTCTTCTTGCCAACTAACATATGTAAGTTCATGTCCATCATATGTCCTTGTGATCTTAAAATGCCAAAGCTTCAAAAAATTTAGGTGTTACTTTTTCAAATAAAGATAAGTGTATGTAGACTGGTTTATGTCGGTGGGGTTGGGGTTTTAGTGTTTGGATATTATTATTAAATGATAAGGAAGAAATGAATTCATAGCAATCATGCTTGGGATCAAGCACTAGTCCTTTATTCATACCATATATGTTTTAAGTTGATTATTTAAGGACGCTGTCAGTAATTATGTCTATATGACGTCAACAAAAGGATGATTAAGTAATGTGGAGCACTTGGTGGAATGACAGTTCATAGGGGAAGACGAAGCACTCTGAGAAGACCAACCTCAGTGCTACGTTGCCCACCAGAGATCGCACATGACCTGACCTGCAAGAAAACACTCTCTGCCGTGGCCGGAAGTTGGCGACTAACTATATGAACTATGACACGCACGCCTTGTAGCAGGGGCAGGTGCTCTCAAAAGTGCCCTTGCTGACCAGTCTGCTTGAGTCTAGTTCGGAACCGTCAAATTATGAGCACCAAATCATATGTGACGTAATTTAATATTGGTCAGTTTCAAAGAAACGATTTTGTCAACTGTAGTTTCGAGTCCACTCAAAGAATAGATATGTTCAAATACAATTAAAGAAATATCATTATTATGAAAATATTCTGGTATGCATTATTCCAGTTTATTTCTTGCAGATATAAGTTTACTGCATGAAAGAGTAAACAGCACTAAATATTTTTTCATCTCTTTCGTTTGTAAACCTTCTTCACTGATACATGCTTATATATTGTTAAGAACTGATCTCTTTAATATATGTAATAATGGGTATATCACAAATTAAAGTATGTTTTAATAATTTATATGGTGTGATGTAAAGATTTGTAATGGTAGAGGCCTTGTAATAGAATCACGTCACGAAAAAATTTACCTAATATGCGTGCTATAATTGCACATTCTCATATTACTTTTGGATCAGAATATAAAACAAGATGGCAAAAATAAAGATGGTAAATTATTGGACAATTATAAATAGCAATTTTATTTTATACATATTGTAACTTGTTTCGTTACTGAAGACGCCGTTCGGAATTTTAATTGGTTTATTCAACAACCTACAAGTAACGGCTATAATTAATTATCACACTGTTGCGGGGTTTCACACTTTATAACCCTACTCGCAATAATCTCTTCATTCTGTGGGGGTTCACAATTCATAACCCTATTCGCAGTAATCTCTTCACTCTATCTTCAGTAGTCTACCCGTTTTCATAACGCGGGAGTTATCCAAGTGCAACTGTATCACACACTCCCAATTATTACTCGGTAATCACGAACTATCACTGATTCTCACACTCGTCCGTAACTCGTACTATCTCGTAAACTCGAGAACTTGGGAACTCACTTCGACGGCTGATACACTTTAACTGAAAACAGCAACTGAACTCGGCGACGGCCACATTTCAACTCGCTTCGTAGGCAATGTGGTTCACTTATATAGTGGCAGCGCTTGCCTGTTACGTAATCGGTACCGCTGTTGCCTCACGCCGTGTTACGTCACCGCGCGTTACGTGCCCCGTCACAGTAGGATGCGTTGTCTCGTAGTCCAGGGCGGGGGAGCTACGTCACCGTGGCCAGAGCTGCCACGTCACTGCTGGGGGAGGGAGGGTTTCTTCCATTGAGCAACATGCCACAATATATTTGTTGGTTTGAAATTTTAACCAAGTTTCTCCTTCGTACGGCTGTAAATTCCCATAGCTTTGGTTATGAAGTGTTCTATTTTCTGGAATACAGCGGCCTGTAGCGCGGTAAAATTAAACTATGTGTCAGGGAAACACATTGTCACAATCATCAGAGTTGAAAAGTAATCCAAGTAGGAAACGCTTGATATGATCCTCTAAAATCTCGGTTGACTTCACCGGAGTATATGGCATTATATCTCTGAACAAAATTCTTCAACTCTCACATTTATTGAGATTTCCTCTCGATAGAACTTACTGCTAAACTGATTGTTGATTGTTTCATTCGTTTATTCATGTGTCCACGCTCCATCTTATCATGGGCCAAAATCAATTAAAATGCGCACATTTTCCTAATAATTTCCTCTTAATATGTTGATTTATCTACAGAACCCGCAATATTTTAAAATGGTGATCTTTGACTGACACCACTACTGAAGAATAGGTTTCCATCCTTAGAGACAACACAGTCACACCACTAGTTATTACAGCATTGCACTCTCATTGGCTCTCTATGATTTCATCTTCTACTAGGCAACTTTCATTAAATAAACCCAACCTGCAGCTCTGGTAACAGCTTGTGGTTTATATATGTTTTTAGTGGTGGAGGCGTGAGAGACAGTAAGACGTGAAGTAACTTGCTTCTCAGGCCAGGACGATAAACAGCCTGAAACACACATAATTATGTCCATATTAGTGAATCAATTAATACTACTAAATGAAATTCAAATTAAGTCTGCTAGATTACGTTCATATAATCAGTTTCTTTTAGCTTCTTAGTGAAAATAATAACCATATTATAAAGACCTATTTTTGACATAATACATTTAATTTAAGAGGAGACTGAATTCGGGGAATACTTGCAAACATTCGATCCACAACCTTTTGTCTTCTTGTCTGCTGTCTAAAAATTTAATAATTGCAATATATAAAAATATAATTTTTGCCTGTGATTCTATATGGGTGTGAAACCTTTATCGCGTCATTTTCCTTGATGCTGTGACAGTGTGAACATGGCCGCTCCCATAGCAGTGTGCACCAAGGAGGAACAAAGAGCATTGACCCGATCTCTCTGGTGGGAAAGTGTGTTCTCTACCGCGTTGATGTATGTGTGAGTGAATCGAGAAGTTTAGAAGTGGCCGGACAAGCGTGACACGCAAATAGGGAGCAGGACGCCCGTCAACCTCCAGGACTGACGAGAAGATTCAGCAAGCTCGAGAGATGGTACTGGCGAACCGGCGAGTTACCATCGATGAAGTAGCGTGTTCTCTGCAGGTTAGTCATGGTTCTGCCTATCAAATCATCCACGACGAGTTCGGCTTCCATAAAGCCTGAGCGAGATGGGTGCCAAGAGAGCTTACCGCAGAGCACAATCGCAAACGTGTTGAGATCTGCCAAAACGTACTCGACTGCTTCAGCCACGAAGACCAAGAATTTTTGAGCAGTATAGTCACAGGAGATGAAATGCAGGTCCATCACTATGAGCCACAATCCAAAAGTCGGAGCATGGCGTGGAAACACCCGTTATCGCCAACGAAGAAGGAATTCAAGACTAAATCTTCTGCGGGAAAGGTGATGCTAACCGTTTTTGGGAATCAAAAGACCTATACTGGAAGACTACCTAGAAAAATTGTGTACGATCAACAGTGCAAGATACAGTGATTTGTTGGCCAACAATCTGTAGCCAGCAATTCGCACCAAACGCTGAGGCCTACTGTCAAAGGAAGTATTGTTGCATAACAGTGCACGCTCACACACGGCCAGCCAGACCGTTGGAACCATTAACCAATTGGATTTCGAGGTGATGGAACACCCTGCCTACAGCCCAGATCTCGCCCCTTCCGACTGTCATCTCTTTGGGCCTCTCAAAAATGCTTTACGAAGTCGTCGATTTTCTACGGACAACGAAGCGGTGCATAAATGGTTGCGCGACAATTCAAAACCTCCTTCTTGGAGGGAATACGCAAGCTTGTGGACTGCTGGATCAAGTGCATCGAAAAGGAAGGAGACTATGTAGAAGAATGACGTACTTTTTCAACCATTACTTTTGTGTATATAAATTGGAAAGGAAAGAGTGCGGATAATGTTTTACTTTCTACGTATATGAACAGAATGTTGACGAGTACATGAATCAAATTCGGAGAAGCAGTTTTCCAACAAAATTACACTACGCGTTTGGACCGCTGAGAGCGTACATTATATTCCTGTGGGTACCACCTACGCTTCTTTATTAAGGGTGAGAGTCTCCATAATTTTATGATGTCTAATCGAAATCGTTATATCCACTTCGGGAAACAATTCTGTGTTTGGAACCCCTGAGAAAGGCGCTAATTTGGGGCTAAGATGTTCCTATTCGCTGACAACCAACCCATAATGAGAGCCAAGTATGGATAAAATGTATCTAAGGATCGAGGCTCTAAAGAGATTCACATAAAAATATACAGATTGACAGACACGCGGTACACCTTGAAGTAGTCTTTATTATTCAGGGACGCTCAAATATCGTAAATCTGGCAGAATCTCGAGGTCGATATCTTCCCGGGCTACACATACGAGAAAGTGACAAACATCGAAAATTGAAACTATGGCAGTCAAAAACATCAGGTTAAATAGTTAAAAAGTATATTTAAATTCATACCTTCGGAGATTTTCCAAATATCGCATGCAGCAGATCGTCAACCACTTGGTAAATTTTGGAACTTCCTAAGACTGGTAGCATAAAAATATTCAAAATATTCGCCTGAAATTAAAAGAAAACTTGAAACTATAATAACACCATAGCTCCATTCTTGTCTTCTGAGTTATGACACCGTGTAGTCTCGTAGGTTATTGGTAGTTTTCGTAGGAAATTTCTGCCTCCATCTACAGTATACTGTAAGAGTAAATTTTATTTTAAAAGTTGGTAACAACCTATGAGACTGCCCGATGGTATAGCAAGGAAGAGTGCAATTAGAATTATATATCATTAACACAAAATCAAACAATTTGATAGCAAATTATTCTAGTTGTAATTTACAGCAGTTTTGTTGTGAAAAAAACATGGAATAAATATCAATTTTATGAAATAGCTTATTTCGTGGTACGACACGATAGATACTGTGAGTCACACACTTAATGTAGCGGAGAGTTCTGGACGCCGTGCCATGAAATGAAGCAGACATTGGTAAAGAAATTTCGTAAGTATGTAGTGCGATCCAGAAGTTCCCGAAATATAATAATAAAAACTATTCCCGCACAATGTAAGCCGTATGCGGTCGTGCGTTGTCATGGTGGAGTACCCAGTCGTTCGTGCGCCATTTCTCTGGACGTTTTCTCCTCATGTGCTCCCTCAAACGCCTTTGAACATCGCGATAGAACTCTTTATTGACTGTCTGACCAGGAGGGATGAACTCCTTATGAACAATCCCGTCAATATATATATATAAACAGATCAACATGGACTTAATGTTGTTCTTGACCTGTCGAGCTTTTTTTGGCCGATGTGAAGAAGGGCTCTTCCATTGCGACGATTGCTGCTTGCTTTCAGGGTCGTAGCCATAAACCCAACTTTCATCAACAGTGACAACCTTCGAAAGAAAGTTTGGATCCTCTTGAAGCTGTTGCTGAAGTTCCCTGCAGACTTCCCAGCGATGCTGCTTCTGTTCATTTTGCAGCAGTCGTGGCACAAACTTCGCCACAATCCTCCTCATGTTCAGTTCCTCTGACAAAATTCGTTGACATGTACCATAACTTAGTCCCAAGATGTTACAGAGGTCTTGGATGGTCAGTCTACGAACTTGTAGAATCAGATCCCTAACTTTCGCGACATTTTCTGGTGTGGTGCCAGTTGACGACCGTCCCGAAAGATCGCCATCATCAGTCGACGTTCGTCCAGTTTGAAACAGTTATACCAGTCGTAACTTTGTATCTGGCCTAAACCGCTGTCATCAAAAATTTTCTTCAACATTTGGTGCGTTTCTGCAGCGATTTTCCCAAGTTTGAAAAAAACTTCATACAGACACGCTGCTCTCTCAGGTCAGCAATCGCAAAACCGCAAACTCACGGAAACACAACAATAGAAATACGTTCACCAACAGTACACCCAACCACTCAACTCGACGCCGCTTGCCCCAATGACTCAAGAGGGGTGTTTGGGGAGACACATAGCGGTATTTCGATGTACTCATAACCATTCGCGCGAAAAATTGAAATTTCGGGAACTTTTCGATAGCACCACGTCCGCAGTGTTGTGATCATCATTTAATGTTTGCTGCGCCAGTTTCCTGATGATAGCCTAGTTCAACCGTGGAGCCTGAGGCTTGTTTCCAAGGAATTATGCATTTGCGCAGTAAGTGACGTCCCTTGGAGTCCCGGGAGCGAAGATGAACCACTAACATCTTTGATATAATTTGAGCAATTGAACCCATTTTAACTTTATCACCGACGAGGGTCGAAACAACATGCAAACAACACTGCGGTCTCGTCAGTGGTCCCTGTCAGAATCGAGTAAGTCACCGAGGACTACTTAAATTTTCAGACATCGCTTTTCCAGAATTTTACTCTAATCTCAATTTTCGATTGGTTCAGGTCTCGATAAGGAAGTCTGTTAAACAGGAAGCAGAGCATGGAATAACATTCACTGTTGAAGATATCAAGTATACTTCATTCTCCTTTTCCTTTTCCATTGTCGCACTAGGAATATCCCGTTATGGTATATCCTCTACACCTTTCAATATCTCAGCCAATTATTTCCTCCCTCAATACACCTACATTTCTTTAGAGAGTGTTATAACATGCGGCTAGCTAGATGCTCTGTCATTAGCACAAACAAGTTACATATTAAATTGCTGCGAACAGATGGGTTCATACTCCCCATGAATTATATTCGTTCTAAATTTCTAAGGATAAAATCCTACACAGATATCACAGCTCAGCAATAAAATTCTACACGTGTTGGCGCTGACCTCGAACCTTGATACACTGCATTTTACTCTCTTTATTTATATCTGCAACGTTGCCATTTGAAATGATTTAAGTGTCGTCGCATACGCAATTCTATGGAAAAAAACGCAGTAATAAGAGAAAAGAAAATAATGTACCTAACAAACTTGCCGAGAAAGGATAATTTCTATACTCCATGAAGAGGAAACAGCGACTTGCGACAACATTCTGCTTCACAAATGCTTCTAGATCGAACCAATGGATTACATCCCGTACAAGGCAAGGGAATTTAACAATTACAAAGATTTCATTGGCGTATGAGTATTTATTTCAGATGCGACCGATATCTGCGACAAGGTATTCATAATTTACATTGTAACGTCTCTAGTTCTTTTTGGAGTGGATATTAACAATTAGTTTCTAGCAACAATTACGATACGGATATCGGCTACCCTATTCCACTTTTCACTTAGGCCCTATTGCTTTAGCCTCCTCTTGCAGTCACAAGCAAAAATGCTAACCACACGAATGTAATTGTGCTTAGTGATATATATGCCTAAAATCAAGAGCGCAGTGCACCAATATTGTTGCGGGGTTCGCAACCCTTTTTAAAATCTTTAATTTTAGGAACTTGAGTCTGATGTCTTGGGTCATGCCCCCTACTAAATTTACAGAACGTTAAGAGGTTGACCTGCTACCTCAACAAAAAATTGTTATATTTACCCTTGCCATTCCATAGATTAGGGGGGTCCTGGAGTGTTCCGTCTGGGACCTATCTTTTAACACCAGCTGGCGTAATCTGAGCTGCGTGAGGGTTCATGTCTCGAGACACTGGACTGAAAGTTTAGTTTTAGATAGGTTTTAAGAAACAGAGGGAAGTTGAAGGGTGCATTTTGTCTGGGTTGGGGCTACGAGAAGGCTGGCCAGGCTTACGTCCACCAGCGCTTGTATGTAATATACACTAAGAATCAATAAATCCTCTATTATCTGTAGTGAGTATTTGCTCTTTGTGGTTGGAATACCCGCTCCAGCAGCCAACTGACCATCACCACCACTGAATTATTACGCTACCGCTCGGCCAACATAATTCAGTCGACCCGCCACCATCTTGGGTCACGACAATATAACCGTGATAAAAATCAATATTCCTAACAGTTTCAAAGTAAATCACAAATCTATAAAGACGTCTTTATTTCACGTACCCAGGAGAGGCACAACTAGAATTATTAAGAAATAATACAGAGATAAAAACTGTGAGAAAATTTTGGACATTTATAAAACAATTTTGGAATCCTGGTATCATACTCTCCTTCAGAGAAACTGATAATCAACAGATTTTCGCTAATTTTACTGTACCTTATAATAATTGCAATATTTCTGCCCGTAGACAGAACTAATCTCTTTAGGCAGTTTATCCCAGTTGGAATCTACATACTTTTCGACTGTTCCACGTTCAGAAATTTTGGTTCTGAAACATAAATAAAACATCATATTTCATTAATTTTAAATACACTTTACTCTGTGCTTTACAGACTGAGGGGAAAAATGTGTTCCCAAATTAATTTATTGCGTTCCTACTTCCCAAATGTTTATAAAAATTTCGTCATTCACATTTTATTATGGTTTATTAAAATGCTGGATTTTATGAACATCAAAACTGAAAGTTTATTTCACCCTCTCATCACTCTCACGGCGACGGCCATTCTTGCCTACTGACACTGATTTCGGAATGAAACAAAATGCATCATTCGGCTCAACTAAAAAAGAAAGAATCCTGGCCCAGAATAAAGCAATAGGCTGACTACACTCGAAATTTTTGTGTTAATGTGCCCTTTCAGAAGATAATTTTTCGTTGAATGCGAGCGGCCCAGAACTTTCAAATAACTCTTTTTCTCTCTACCTCTGTTGAAGAAGTGGCCTCAGAATCTTCTACAATATCATGAATTAGAACACTTTTCATTTATCATTTATAATTGATAAACCGACGTAGGTTTTGTCTAACGACCGATGTAGGAAGGAGGGATGTTGTGAAACAAGACCTCGAGGAGTATTCTTCTCTGTTGTTGCGTCACCGCGGGACTGTGTTTACTGGCAACGCGTGCGTTATCTCGTCGCGCTGAGTCCACGATTCCCAACAAGGGGTGCACTTTATATCAGAGTGTGATATATATATCTGTTCACAATCAGTTTTTTTTATTATTTATTTCCAATTCCATTCAGCTGAGTTCTTCCTGAGAAGTTAAGAGTCACTGCTCCACTCAGGATATTTTCCACATTTTACACGACAAGACATCCCAATATTATATTCGCAAGAATTCAACACTGGACCTCATCACGAGTCGGATGGGTTCAACTCGCGCTTTTTCCATTTCATTTCCTTATTATCCAACATAATAGTATCCTTCAATTTGTCCTAGGTCTCAATGTTTTTCTTTTTCGTCAGCTGTCCTGTTGAAATGCTGAGTCCACTCCCCATGGCTTCCATGAAAGTTCCATGTCCCACTCATCCGATCTTTCTTGATTTTATAACCCTAAAACCATTTAGTGAAATGTACAAATTATGAAGCCTTTTAAACGTCTATATATAACACAGTCCCTTAATAATGCAACAAATTGTTCCTTTTGCTTCTACTGCCACTGACTTTTAACACATTTTCCAGCACTGAATTTTATATCATCCCATTAATTTTCATTAAAGGGTAAATTTGACCCTGTGCTTAGTTAAGCACCACTCCATGAAGAAATGAAAGGGAATAAAGGTACAGCTCGACCATTCTTGACCAAGGCACTAGATGGAGGTAAGCAGTCAGCTTTCGGACCCGGCCGCCTTACCTCTGGGATAGGAATCCCAGGAGCTTGGGTGGGCCCCAGAACCGGTCTGGATCCTGTGAAGGAGAGAAAATTGTCTTGCCTCTACAGGAAATCTAATCCCAGCCTTCCAACTCTAGTCCATCACGGTATTGACTGAAATATCCGGATATTACAGATTTCATAATCCGGTTGAAAATACAAATGCGATTAAAGTAATGTTTATACACATTTCATATGGAAATTGATGCGGAATATGATAAATTTCGCATGGCCTATGAGGAAAGCACCCTTTCTCATGAAGATTATTGGGGCAAATTAACCCGAGTCTTGTATTTCAACACGGTATACCTACATTCAAAATCTGAGTTACACAGATACTAAGCTGACCATTATCCTTAGCGCCAACTACAGGTAACTATGGGATACCGCCTGTCGGTAGTTAACCCTACTGCCGACTTTAGGCGATTACTAATCCTTACAGGCTACTTATAATTATTTCGGGAAAGTTGCATGAGTTGAGATCAAACCGGGGTCTCTTAGCATAATAAGTCCAATTTCTCAGACTGTTACATGCTTTCAGAGGACCAAGATTTCAGCGTGATTTACTTAGCTCAGTCTCTCTGATATTGATGTTTATTTCTTCAAGTAGTAGCAATGTTAAATGATATAATTCAATGGGACAATTAGACTGCAACACTACATTCTAAACATTGTTGGATTCAAATCCTAATTTCAGTAATTATGTCCTCAGAGGAGAGAAAGTGCCCTCATGTAGCCAATCTCAATATTAGACAGTTACATGAGTGCGTGAACGACAATCTCCTGGACGAACACATGGTGCATAATGCTAAAATATTAAAAGATAAATTCATTTCAAATATTCTTCAACTCAAAAGCAAACCACTTGCCTGAATAACCCTGGCTGGATATCATGTACAGAAATTCCCCACTGGCTAAGCTCATAGCGCAACACGTTGGCCAGTGCTGTCGTGGCATGTTTAGACATGCAGTAAACTCCGACAGATGCAATTATGTGCAAACCTAAAAAAAAAAACTGTGTGATTTCATATAACCAAAATATCCAAAGATCCTTCATGATTCATTACTTTCACTTTTATATTGCGGCATGACGACTAAAGATCACAATCTTCACTCAGAAGAATGTCGCTGAGGAGTCCACTGAGAAATGACGTCAGCGCAAATCACTGGCAGCCACGTGCACACACAACAATAAAATAAAATGAAACAAAAAATGTGACTGGGAGACCTTCGTTCCCACGTTAACCTTCAAAACGTAATTAAATTTGGATTTATACTGTAACAAATGTACTTTGTACATTAATTCACGATGTCGTTCGGCATTTAACTTTGTTCGTTTGGGCAGATTATTATAGTTATCTTCTTGTAACCGCTTGCATTTCCCGTACACTCTCATGTAGCACGATTATTACCAGCGGACGTCTTAAGTGCGTGACGTCATACGCTGCCAGCTTGCCTATAACATTGCGTCATACAATAAAGAGTGGTACTGAATTAGTCGCAAAACTCGCATGTGTTACCGAAGTCTAAGTCACATGGCGACTGATGGTCAGTCAGTCGGTAAGTCTTGGTGTCGAGCCCCATCTGGGACTCATGGCCAGATATATATTACTATCTGACAGTTACGATCTTATTTTTGTGAGGCGCCCTCTCTTACAAGAAGACGCGTCTGTCTTTTGTATATGCTGCTGGTCCTTGCCAGCGCAGTCTTCCTCGGGTCCGAGTCCGTTGGAGTAATCCCCATTGTTAAAACTCGTTCCAGGTAACGTCTAGTGAAGACATAGAGGATCAATATTGCGAAAAGTTGTTACCACGTAAAGATTAGTGAAAGTAAATTGAGAAATCTAAGTGTGGAGTGATTTGAAGTGCGGAAATCAGCAATAGTGTAGTAATTACTTGTAGCTATGACATGTAAGTAGTCAATAGATTTATTCACCAATCCAAACCCCATCTCTAGTCATTAATACATATGAAAATATTTTAATGAGGGACCAGGTCTCAGATAATCCTACTCTCTGCCATTTTCGTGTCAGGAAACGGGGTGTCAAAACTATTATTAATTATCTCATACAGCTCCATTTCATTGCTTTGCCTTTCTACAAATATCATGTACACCTACATGTTTTTCACACCGAAAGTGTTTGGAATTTTCATTAGTCTGAATGCGCTTCTCATTGAGAATTCACTGTAACATCCGGGCGGTTAGGCTCTAGCTTCTTACTGCGCCAACTCGATTTCAATCCCACGTGACTTCAAATGAGATCCGTGGAGGCACTGGAGCTGGCAGTTTTCGGGGTTTATTAAATCTTCCCCTCATAATCATCAGTCCCCCATTACACATTACTACTCTAGGTGATGCCGTAATTTAACTGCGCTGTATAAAGAATATTTACACGCGACACGACACAATACAGACGCTTCACGCTTTGCCAACTATACGTATTTTTACATGTTTGCGTGACTAAGATGCGAGTTTATATTGTGAATAAATTTATTGGATCTTCGCTAGTTGTAATTACAAATATTTGTAACACTTTCAACGTTACTGTAATTATTGCACACGATGTCTTCAATTCACACATTTAGTCTTCAGAGGGGGACTTCTAGCTCTTCTTCAAATACGAACTTCCTGTGGCTGCCTCCGACGGAAAACTGAACTGAACTGCTTGTGTTATTCTCGTTATATAGCCTCCGCAAGAACCACGCACAGAAATCGTAGTTCTAGTGTTGCATAAAGAAGACTACTCAGAGAACGGGTCACGTGATTCCTAACGAGTGTCCTCATTGGTGCGCTGTTGACTAGCAACGCGCAATAAAATTCATCCACTGAGACCCATCTCCCATTGTTGCACGTTGACCGTATTTACAGAGCCGTTGCCTAGAACGGCTTTGTAAGGGCTGACAGTAAAATTACATCAAAGGGCAGATTAGGGAATAGTTTTGAGCGGTACAGCATGTATCGCGCTTACAAACGTAACAAGTACACGAACGAACCAATCAAAACAGCAAAAAACCTATATCTGATACCTTACATCGTCACTATTACAGACACAAGTAGTACTGATATCAGTATACAAGCACTACACACCGTTTCACCACCCATCAGCGGTACATCCTAGCACGTACATCCAGTACACAATTCAGGAATGCTACGGTTTAACAGCCCTGGAACGACAACAGGCGAAGAGACTCGATAACATCTAACATACAGCTCGAAGAGTTAATATATCATAAAGCATGGTTCATAGGAAGACAAAATTCACATGTTTCAGATGTTAAATTAACATCAAAATAATCGAAAGAGGAGAAATTCGTAACACAACTTTAGTTAAAATAATAAAATAATATAATGTCACAATCATACTAGAATTTCCAGCAAAACGTTCACAGCGGATGATATGAGACACTGCATCAGATGTGAAACACGTGCGATGAACACCAGAACCGTCCTTATCATGTGAATCAGGTGCTGATATATTTACGCGTGTGAATCAACACTCCTCTACTTTTCAACATAAGGTAAATAGGCAAAACTATCCCTGCAACAGGCCATGGAGAGTCATAGGGCTATCAGATATTGAGGCTCCTACATTTTCTAGAAAATCGGCTCACAGAAGGCGGTGAGGCTATCAGCCTCCAAGCCTGCCGCACATTACCCACTGGAAGATTCCTAGTACTCATTCCTGTTAGAGGTTGAATTGATCCCACGGCCACATTATGGCCAGACGGATTATGTCAATTAAACAGTCCAATGGCCTCATCGGGAATCAAATCCGCGACCTTCCGGCTTGTAGCATAGTGCCTCAACCAACTACACTACGAGTGCCCCAGAATTTCAACATATGACTGAAATTCTAAATTTAAAAATTTCAATTTCATTTCAAAAACAAAATGTATTCAGAATACTGGTCAGTACTAACCATTTAGAACATATAAGAGAAGTATCATCACAGTACCCATAGACCTGATAATGAAAATTATGGTTGATATATGTTGATAAAATTATTATATTATATGCAATCTATCTTCTATCTATATAAATAAAAATGTAAATGTTCATTTGTTACCCCTCGAAAATTTTCGAAAGTTCTTCACCGATTGCTTAGAAATTTTGACACAACGTTGCATTCGAATGCGCGCGTGTTTTTATATACCTACTAGCTGTACCCGGCCACGCGTGAATCCGGAAAGTATACTTCCATGGAAACGCAATAACAGATGCATAGGAATTGCCGAAACAACAAACGCGTTTCCCCGGAGATTAAAGGGTAAGAGGTTCCGTTGCGTAACAACGGATGAAACCGGAAAGTATACTTCCATGGAAACCCAATAACAGTGGGCCTTTGCATAGGAATTGCCGAAGCAACAAACGCGTTTCCCCGGAGATGAGAGGATAAGAGGTTCCGTTGCGTAACAACGGATGAAACCAAACACTTCTACGGGATGTTCTGTGCTAGAATTTCGATAAGGTATTCCCTATCCCGTCCGAACGCTGGCTATATGTATAAGAGAGTGTAGTTCCGGCGACTGTTCAGTATCACGAGTGTCTCGAGTATCGCGAGGTCACAAGTATCACAAAGGATTCCGAGTGAAATCACAGCAGAGATCCTGAGTTTGCACTCAGAGTTTTGGATTCGACTCTGGCAGCGTTTCCCAGGTGATAGACAACAGAAGGCTCATTGTATAGCATCCGCCGAGGTATAAATAGTCCAGCTTGGACAAGAAGCAGTCAGTCTCGGGGCAGATGCCGAGGGATACAGAACAGCGTCTGGAAATAACCGCGGAAGGAGTCAGTCTTGGGATAGCTACCGCCGAATATAAAGAGCTTCGATTTATTTTCATTTTTATTTCATTATTTCGTGTGACATTGCTTTGGAATTGGGCTGTGTCGTTTACCATAGCGTTCATTTCGTGAGTATAGTTTATTTTTCATTGTTTTTCATTTCGTGTTCTTAACTGTTTTCCTTATTTTTCAGTGCAATTGGCGGTGGGATTGAGCTGTGTCGATTGATCTGCGTTTGAATTGAAATATTTCGTTAGACTGAGCCACAGCAACGCGTGGCCGGGTACAGCTAGTTTATAATAATTATATGCAATGATGGATACAATTATTGATTATGGATTATAGAATTAGGCAATTGTGTATACATATATGTATATATTCCTCCTGGGACACCTTGTATATACAGAGTGTCCCAGGAGGAATGGACCAAACTTCGGGAGGGTGTTCCTTATGTTAAAGTATGCCGATATAACCCAAAACACCTATGTCCAAAGTTGAACGGTTACGGAGATAATGGCCCGAGAAAAGTGTGGTCTTCTGGCAGGTCCACGCACTATACGTACCTATCAGCTGAGACCCTTATCTGTTTGTCCTTGAGTGCTGTGAGTCACACAACCGTAAACTCCTACATAGCCTACAGATTACGTTGCGGCGGGGTCGTGAATGGGTGGTAAATTAGTTGTGTGATGAGTTGCTGAAATGCCTTTTGTGTTTTCACACGTGGAATATTGTGATATGCATTTTGTGTGTGGATTTTGCGGTGGCAATGCACGTGCTGCTGTTGAAGAATACCAAAGGCGTTTTCCCGATCGAAGGATTCCATCTCGAAGTGTATTTACGCGAATTCACCAGACATTGCGTGATACTGGTTCTCTTGCAAGTGTTTCTGTGCACTCTGAAAGGCAGGATGTACGAATGATAGACACACGAGAGCACATTCTTGATATTGTTCAGTGAAGTCCGCGTCTATCACTCGTAGAATCGCCTCTCGCATCGGCGTATCACGTATTCAGGTGTGGCAAACTTTACATCATGAAGAGTTATTCTTACCATGATCAAATGGTACAACATCTGGAACCAGGCGACCATGCACAGCGTATGGATTTGTGCCACTGGATAAAAAGTTCATCCCGAACTGTTAAGCGTCATTTTATTCAGTGATGAGGCGTCTTTTACCCTGGATGGTGTAAATAATTTACGAAATGTGCATACGTGGTTCCATAATAATCCACATGAGATAATGGAAACGAAATTCCAAAAGAGATTTCCTGTGAATGTACGTTTACAGTTATGTGGTCGGGTTATAGCGCAGCCATATTACGTCATCGCTCGCCAGTCATGTGTCATGTATAGTGCTTGGAAACCTAAGGACAATTATGACATGGCGAGCGAGTATTTCGTACTTCAATTTTATGGCTTTCCGTCACTCACAAGTTAGTTTGATGTTACGTACATTATTAACATTACAGAATCCACATATTCCTGCCAGTTTTAATATGTATTTTGTAATCAACAAGTGTGTAACACGGGTCAAAGTTTGACATTTGTCTGGCCATTATCACCGTAACCGTTCAACTTTGGACATAGGTGTTTTGGGTTATATCGGCATACTTTAACATAAGGAACACCCTCCCGAAGTTTGGTCCATTCCTCCTGGGACACTC